ATAGCTGGAGGTATGCGTCAATTGTCTGTTGTATCTGCATTTCATTCTTGAGATTCATTCTATGTTTCTCCACCATACACTTACCCAAGTCATTGACACTTTTTGAAAATGTTCGCTGATCACGGTCAGACATCTCATTCAAAAATCACATCACGGGACAAAGTTATATCAAATTCTAATCCACCACTGACAAAAGCTCACTTATCTGGCTCAGGAGTATCTAGGTGTCACAGGACGACCCAGGTCAAGCACACGATTGCGGTTGTATTACGTAAACAATATAACGAACTGTGCGCTATTAAATACACACATTTATTATATATATATTGTTCTCAAACACATTTATTGTTTTATATAAATCGTGATACAATCTATACAAGAAGGTTTTTCAAATGGGACTGCTATATACCGACAGAGACTCTAGAAACTACGTAATCTTTTTCACCATTAACATTATTCAAGTTTGTATGGCCGTTTTTCACCGAATTACATCTAATCATCAATCAAATAAATACATTAGTTTACTGTGTGTGTTTTTTTTTGCAATTATAAAGCCAACGTTGCCTTTTCTATGTCACGTAAATCAGTAACCTCATATTCTGCTATCAACTTTACAATAAATCATGTAAATGCATACACTTATGACTTACACTCAGCTCATCAATAAAAATAATCGAACTGCTAAATTTATATTATGAACGCACGGTTGCCATATAGCCGTATAAGTTACCTAAGTTTCTGTATGCTAATATAGCTGTTACACGTGGTAGCATTTCTGGGGTTGTACCATCTGACAATTGAGTGGATGGGGAATAAAGGGGATTGTTACAATATGTGTGTGCTCTAGTGACATAATATACATATATATATATGTACATGTTTGCAGAAATCGGGGTTATCTTCATGTTGCTTGTGTTGATTGTTATGTGGCTCTTCGAAGACCCTCAATTTATGACTGGTTCAAACCAGGGTGAGCTATTTTGTTTTATCTAGCTTTGTAAGAAACAGTAGATTCACAGTTGCAGCTATTATTCTATGTTTTATCATCCCAAGTACAAGACCGTCGCTGCCGCATTACAGTAGCTGTAAGACACTGCATATACCATACATGAAGCATATTTT